TTTTTGAATAAAGTTGGTCTCATTCCTTGTCGAGATCATCTGCAGCATAGACTTTTAAAAATGAAAACAAATAGACTTTTAAAAACTGGGACAAAACTGTTCAAAGGTCGAATGTGTGCAGAGGAAGACTACAGTAACACTCTTTTGTTTGACATCACAGAGAGAGCTAATGTGAATCAATGCTCTCAAAGTCACCCCATCAAAGCTGTGAGGAGGAGGTGGGAGGGGAGTGCCTTGATGCCCCCTGTCTGTCAGGTACACATGGACCAATTAGTGCATCTCCTCTTTGTGCAGCGACACTGTACACCATGACCTGATGCTTGATGTCGGGGACGGTTCGAAGACCTGACAGTGTCAAAGGAAGTCCCTACGGAGGCTACAGCAGTGAAGAGTACTTCTGTTATGCACACACATACACACACAGAAACACACACGCACACACACACACACACACACCTCCCCCTATCCTACACCAAAGCCCTGAGCTGCTGCAAGAAACAATATCACGAAGGCAGTGAATTTTGATGTGGAAGAAGGATATGCACAGCGAAGTAGAGAGTTTTAGCAAGTTTGCAGGTAAAGTATGGATTGAAGCCAAACTGCAGAGATCCAGTCTGCAGGGAGGGATAATGGCACAGTCGAAAAAAGCAGTTGGAAAAGTTGCTTGTATCGATTGAACACATGGCTTCAATTGTGCAGAAGAGCTTTTTCTTCTCTTTTATATAGTCTGCCTTGTTGAAACCCACAGCCGTAAATGCCATCTAAATACAGATACATGTTAAATATCCAAAAGGAGTTGGCTTGCATGTAGTTTTGATCTATGGCACGTACTGTAGTAGTAAGAACATTATCTGTGGAGAAAAAAAGTGCAACAGTACCAGTCTTTTGAGGCATGTGGTTGGTTGTTTCAGGATTGCAATGTTAGAGTCATATATTATGGGAATATAAAGAATCGTTCTACACAGGATCCCATGTTATAGAATAGTTCTTCCATTTTGAAGCATAGATTATGACTCAATTATAGATAAGATCACATGAGATAAGAGAATATTTATTAGTCCCACTGTGGGTAATTCATAAATATCTATTACTTAAGAAAACAAACAATAAACATAGATGGCAGTCCATTTTCAATAAAGGACTTTTGTATTTTTTCACCTCAACAGAGTGCCTCAGACCTTCTTTCACGACCCTTTGATCACTGCACGGTGGCTGAGTGGATGGCACTCTCGCTTCTCAGCAAGAAGGTCCTGGATTCGAATCCCGGTCGGAACAGGGCCTTTCTGAGTGGAGTTTGCATTTTCTCCCCATGTCTGTATAGGTTTCCTCCAGGTGCTCCGGTTTCCCCTACGACTAAAAACATGTACAATAAGTATGACTGTAAATGAGAGAAAGAGTGAATGGATGGTGTTGATTGGGGCTTTGATGCACCAGTGTGTTCGGCGGCTCGCTTCCCTCATCACCGGGTGTGGGAAGATTGGAACAATATCTGAACTCTGAACATTGTAAAGCGCTTTGGGTGACCTTGGTCTGTAAAATTCGCTATATAAATTAATGCTACTTAATTACTTACACCATGAATGAGTCAAAAACATCCTGTATCAGCTAAGATTGCTGTCTTTGAAGAGCACCTGTTTGTCCAGCCTTCTCCCGCTCGGACCCTCTGCAGCACTCACCTTCCTTGCTTTGAAATATACATAGATAGCCTTATAATTAAGCCATAAGATTTTGCATTATTTCAACTCTTTCAACAAAATCTTTAAGAGATACTTTTTCAGCACTTTTCATCACAGTCCGGTCTCACAGAGGATGTTTGTAATAGATGTGGCCCCCGCAGCATCCCCTGAAGCTAAGTCAAAGGCCTTAAACCAAGTCCTGTAGGCGAGGGGAGACATTATCATTCAGCTCACATAACCTTTCCTAAAAACTAGATATATACACGAAAACAAAATACAAGTGAAATGAAAAATGAAAAATAAAACACGAGTGAGCATTGCACCGGCCATTCGTGCTCAGCTCTGAGGAGGTTCAAGGACAGTGCACTCAGGTAAGACACAATTACCTCCACATCTGCAAAGTTTGTCTCCATTAGAAACAGCCATAAAATAAAAAACATGGTCTTGTGACAAATGGAAGGAAGTAGAAAATATGACAAAAGGAGAAAGAAGTAGTGCAAGAGTTCAGGTTTGTTCTGGCTGTTCCCTGGAGAATGGAGGTTATGACAGACGTGAGGGGGATGAGGAGAGGCATGAAAGCATGGCTCACTTTGTCTGCATGAAAAGGCTTTTATTCAAACACACACTTTCAAATGTTTAGGCTTCGTTCTGTCACCGTTTTTGATCTAAAATGACACATAAAACACAAATGTGCGTCATGAAAATTACTATATCACTAAAATGTCTTTGTAATAAGGGAGATTTAAAGTATTTTGGATTGTCTCTGTTTCAATACAAGGTTCATTTGAAGTTTGCGTTATACATTACTCACTAGTAGCAAGTGCCCAGAGTCAGGCTGCTAAAATCTGGAACAATCGTCTTGAAAATGTGAGACAGGCTTCTTCTCTGACAATGTTGATATCCAGGTTATAAACAGTTCTGTTTAGCTGTGCATACAAATGAGGGATTTCATATTTGTATCTTTCTTTTTAACATGCTGTGATTATTTGTGATGTTAATGCTATCTTGTTTTCTTTAGCACTTTGAGTTGCCTTGTGTATGAATTGTGATATACAAATTAGCTTGCCTTGCCTACATCTTATTCATATAGTGGCTTTCAGACTGAGAATCACAAAACACTATACCATTTTTGTAGTCTCCCTGCAGCGACGGAAGCGGGGTCGTCTGTACACAGGAGGAGGCGACTATACATGGTGTTAGAAGGAGAAACCAGAGCAGACACAGGGAGAACATGCAAACTTTACACCTTTCACCTTCTTGCAGTGAAGCATGAGCGCTAACCACTGCACAACTATTGTCATGGTGTAGGTTTTTATCATCTTTATGCCTAAATCTTTTTCAACTTTTGATTTTGTTAATATATCTTTTGTCTTCACCCTAATGTTATTCATCTGTGTCTCTGTGTGTGTGTTTGTCTTTTAAACAAGACAAGAAACAGTACAAAAAAACTAAGAATATGTTATTAAAACAACAAATGATTAATGGGTCGCTGCTAATAAACTTCAGATATGGTTCCCTTGATAACTGATCAGAGCAGGACTGCGTTCAATGATCCTATCTAAACTCATTTTAAGTTAATTTAGCAGCTAACAATAATAACTCCATAATAAATGTTATTGATAATTCAATTGCACAATCACGGTTTTGATTTAAGGAAATACTGTATTTCAGAAATCCTGCTCTGGTTCCTTCGAGGGGAGGTAAAAAAAATGCAGGAAAAGAAGAGAAGTCTGAAATCTCATGAAGATTTCAGGAGACTTCGCACCTTTGAAATAGTTTTTTCAGAAGCACCATGGCGTGTATCCATACATATTTTATCTCTATTGGCCTGTGCGTGCTCCGAGAAGCAATGAGAATTATTTATGTGGCCCGAGCGCAGGACAGGGACAAAGAGACGCTCTCTCACAAAACTTCATCACAAATTTGGGCCAGACAGAGATATGGCCTCAGCTCATTAAGAGTCTAAATGAAGTCATTAAGGCTGCCATTTCCATCTCGCGACCCTTGGTTCAAAATAATTAAATGTGCACAAGTTTGGGCTCACCGCCTTCCTCAGCCCGCACACCTTTCCAGGGCTCTGTTGCATAATCGAAGTAAAAAGATATTGGCAGCAGTCCCAGGAACGCTGTGTTTGTCTTGTCACTGAGGGCCATTTGCATGTTGTGTTGGCATTTGGACAAGAGCGGAGCAACAATTTGTGCGCTTAATGACATGATGAACATGGGTGTAACAAGGGACAGGCAATAAACAGCAAATTATTGATTAACAGCTAATTGAGGAGTATTTATAGCCGGAAGAGATCGGCAGGATTTGTTCTTGCCGTGTTTGTTCGGTTCTGTTAGGTTATATAATATGGATTTTTTTGAGAATTTTGGGCAATTGCGTTAACACCAAACTTGTCATTATACCAGTCTGCAGAAGTCAGACTGTTTTGGTAATCTGAAGGTCAAAGCTAACTTATCTTTTGGCGACGTGGCAGATGCTGAGTGGAGCTTCTGTATATTTGCCTGGTATAAGGTAAAGGTGCACTTTATCAATCCCCGTAGGGCAATTCAATCCTCTGCATTTGACCCATCCTGATGCCGCAAAGGCTTACGTCAGGAGCAGTGGTCGCCGTAGTAACAGCGCCCGGGAAGCCATCTCCAGATGTTGATGCTCGGCTTGGTCAGGACTACCGGAGATGGAGGATTTAACCTTGTGTGCATGTTTTTAGTGGTACGGCAAACCGGAGTACCCGGAGGACACCTTCGCAGGCACGGGGAGAACATGCAAACTCCACTCAGAAAGACCCTGTTCTGACCGGTGAACGCTGTGAACAGGTTGGTTGTGTCGCTGTGTACCAACAATAAAACATTTCTGTCATTTTCTTCAACATTATACACAAAGCAAGAATGTGTCTTGTTCGTACAGATGTTACGATGCACTTAAATACATTAAAGCTTGCGCCAACAAATAGGCATGGGATAGAAAATGGTCAAATTATGTGCATATAAAGCGTGTTTCAGAGTCCAATATTTATGTTTCCACTAGAGGAGTTGCAAATTTAAAATGTGTTTGTATAAAATGAGATAATGTCACGCAAGATCACAGATGATAGGATTTCATAATTACCTCTAAATGTTATGGACATGTGTGGCGTGGTATGAGACTATTGTTGCTCCTCCAGATTTCTCCTCCAGGTTGTGGAGTGTGAAAGCCATAGATTTAGCCAACAAAACTAACGATACCAGTAGCGTTGGGCCTACAGAGACAAAAGACTAAATGTGTGTGTGAACAAAAGCAAAGAAAAAAGGCGAGCATATTTGTTAATTACTATGCAAATGGATGCGGCTGCCACCCTCAGATATCCAATCAGGCTGTCACCTCAGCGGGGGGCGTGATTATGAAGTCCCTGTGAAGTGTGGCTGTGGTGGGGGGTGCGGAGGGGGCAGCGCGTGAGGGGACAGGGTGCACTGTCGGGATGACCGCAGATTGTTCCCGAAAATCTACACCCAGGCCCACCGCAGAATTTATATTCCCCCCCAGAAGACATTTACACAGCAGGATAGATGTCCCAGATCCACAGCAAGTAGGGGGACCCAGGGCCCCAGCCCTTTAGACCACACCATCACCCCATGCCCACGCCCCCAGACTATCAGCGACCCCCACCCAGTCCACCCCCAGAATTAGCCAGCTACTACCCCCAGCCTCCATGCGCCATGTCGCCTAAGCCAGATTAATCCACCCGCAGCAGGCTAACCGCCGCCTTCCAGCCCCACCGCAGGTAGAGGCTTATATAAGCCCTCTCCCGCCAACACCCCAGAAGATTCCACTTCATCTAGAATAGAGTCCCCCCCCCCGCCGCCCCGCCCACTGCCCCCTGCCTCCCTCCCAGCGCACAGCTGCCCCTCAGCCTCCGCCAGAGGTCAGATTGTTCTCTCCCCCCACCCCCAGACCCTCTCTTCAGAGGATCCTTTAGACAGTTATTCTCTTCCAGCCCAGTCTCAGCCCCCCCAGGACGAAGATCCCCAGCCCAGAGATTTCCGCAGATATTCCCCACCCACAGCCCAGAGTTTCTGCAGACCTACAGAGATATCACAGCCCAGATTCAGTCCCTCGCGCTCCATCCAGCCCCGCCCCAGCCAGAACAGATCTTCCCCCCCCCCGCTCATGCAGCCGGCAGAAACCCCAGGATTGGTCCCCAGCCACCCCAGCGCCAGAGCAGTCAGGTCCCCCACCGAGATCCCGCCCGCTGTACCTCTCACCATAACACAGATCCCCAGATACAGAGACAGACCAGCCCACCCCCCCCCCACCGCTGCCACTGCTCCCCCGCCACCAGACCCCCCCCTCGCCTCCCATGCCTCCAGAGTCTCCAAGCCCCGCCTCCCTCCCGCCCCGCCCCACCCCAGTTTAGTGAATCGCCCAGGAGCCAACCAGAGCAGATCCGTATACCTCCCCCAGCCACCGATCCAGTCTTTCCAGGCAGTGGCCCGCTCCCCCGCGCTCCCAGCAACCTCGGACCAGCATCTTCCTGATTACAGCAGCTCTCACTTCCCGCTCCGGCACATGCCCCGCCTCAGGTGCGCCCAGCGCCTTGTCAGCTGCAGCAGTCGACCAGATACCCCAGATATCCGCGCAAGCGCCAAAGCAGAAGCAGACAGAGTATCCCACCTCGCCTGCCGCGTCGACCCCCAGATTGCCTGTTTCGATCCTCGCGTCAACCCACCACTGATTCTGAGACAGGCCAAGCCAGCCGAAATGTCCATGAGACACTCACCCTGTATGCCCCCTGCGTAACAGCTTGCCCCCAGGACCCGCATCCCCCCCCCGCTGAGGGCAAAGCCAGGCCCCGTAACACCCCCCCTCACCCCAGCCTCTCAGGCTCCCAGAGCCCCCCAGCGCTAACATCGCCCCATCCCCCCCCAACCAGATTCCTGCCCAGCCCACAGATTCAGATCAGAGCCCCTCCCCAGTCCAGTCCAGCCCTCAGATACTCATACGCACTCCTACCACGCCAATCACAGGGCCCACAGACTCCGCGAGCCCACCTGAGCCTAGATATACAGCAGGCCATCCCCTACCAGGACCCCCTCCCAGACACCCCACCTACCCCGCAGGCCCAGTACCAGCTATTACCTTAGCTCAGAGATATTAGTCCCTCCACGCCCTCCCCCCATGAGATCCCAGCTACACCAGCGCCTCCCCCCGCCACCCCCCCAGCAGATTCCCCCCATACCCTTTGTAATCCTTAACCAAATCCAGTCAGCGCCCAGCCAGACTCCGCCCCAGACACAGGCACTGTCGCCTGGCCGCAGCCGCCACAAAACACAGACGGAGACTAGATAGAACGAGATCAGCCCTCCAGATTGCCATCGCCAGGTCAGCCAGTGCCCTGCACCCCCCCCCCCCGCATGTCTGGTCCACAGTCTCCCGCAGATCAGCAGCAGCACCCCCCGCAGCAGACAGCCCCCCCAGCCTCCTGCGCAGCCCTCCGCCAGCCAGCGCGCACAGAGATTATATCCTGTCAGACCGTAGCCCTCGACGTCCCTCAGATAATTGGGCCCCAGCCGGCAGATATCCCTACCAGAACACCCTGCCAGCACCCCGGACCAGCCAGATCACTTCTCTTCCGCGTCCCGCCCCAGCGGCCCGCCGCCTCCCTTGTTCCCCAGCCAGTCCCCTGCACGAGTGGCTCCCGTCCTCGCCATTCTATCCTATAATCCCATTGGAACTCGCAGGCCCCCCCAGACAGACGGATTAGATCTCCCCATAGCAGATACTCCCCCTCTCAGTCACCCCCCCCACGCCCCCAGAGATAATTTTCCAGGACCTCAGGACCCCAGCTCTCAGTTCCAGATACCCCCAGCCGCCCACTCCCCCAGATCTCAGAGAATTTGGAAGTCCTCCCAGATCCTCGCCTCCGACCCCAGCTGATAACACCGCCTAGCCAGGTCTGCAGATTATGCCAGAGTCTACCCACCCAGCACCTCCCCACAGTCCTTCCGCTGATAAATTGCCTCTCCAGCCGCACGCAGCCCCCCAGGCCCTCAGAGACCCAGACCCCTCTTAGCGTTAATAGCCCCTCGTGCACCTCGCACCGCAAGAGACCCGCCAGTCGACCCCCCCCAGGCAGATACCTCCCCGCCCTCCCCGACCGCACCCTGGCAGACTCTACACCCAGCACCCCCATACACATGTAACTCCAGATAAAGCAACCTCCCCCAGCACCCCACACTCCCCCACGCAAAGCTCCCAGATTTCCAGAGATTTTCAGAGCCTCTCTGGATTTGAGCTCTACCCCCGACAATCCCCACTTGATCTAGCCACCCCAGCGACCCCTCAGTTGAGAGGAAGTTTTTACCCCAGCGCTCCAGATATCATCACAGGAACACCAGCACCCATTCCCCAGATAAGAGATCAGATTCTCCCCCCCCAGCCAAGGTGCCCCAGCTCCCTCAGCTTCAGTCGGTACAGGAACTAAAAACCGTGACTGATATCCACCCCCCAGACTAACTTTCCCATTTTAACATATTTTAATATGATCCTATTTAGCATATGTAAATGGGACGTTGCATATAAGAGAAATCTGTTTTGAATTAGATGCTCTAAAGTGATCCACGCCCGTGAGAGGGTACAAAGAAGAAGCCATTATGGAGGTTTGATGTCGCAATTAAAAAGGAGCCTATCATTTTATGACAACAGTTGTTGCATGACAACATTATGGGATGTCGTTTGATTATTTTGCCGATAGGTTTGGGGGACATTGCTTGAATTACAAGCCATTATATCACTTTTCTTCCTTTTTTTCTCAAGGAGGAGAGAAAACTATCTTGATGGTGGCATACAAAGGCCAAGCGGCAGAGATGTGCACTCTCAGCAGCTCCTCAGCAGCTCCTCAGCTTGACGGTGTCCTTGGCGCTTTGTCAGCAAAAGTGATTCTGCAGCCAAGACGCTTGCAATAAGATAGGGCTTATTATTATTATAGAAAGCAGTGCATTTGGCAGGGCATGTGTGGGAAGTGCTAATACACCAAAGGACGCTCACCTAACACTAGTCTTCATTAGGTCCTCATTCATTCAGTGTAAAGCATCAAATTCACAATAACTAAACAATTGTGAAGGGAGTTTATTGTTCAAATAATAACGGTGCTTTCCTATATTCCTATAAACTGTATATAATATATATGTGCTGGGGGTGACCTGCTTTTTTTTAAGTGGTCCGATACCTGTTTAGTGTAAATAATATGTCATTGTTTTGCTTGTCGCCCAGTTTGCACTGTTCTTTTTTGCATATGAAAGTGTATTTTTAAGAAAATATTCAAGCAAAGTCACAACATTTAGATCAATGCAAGCAAAAATAACAATGAGTTTCCATTTAAAAGTATCTTGAAATTAGACCCTGACCTTTGTTATTTTCAAGTGTAATATTCACGATACTCTCACGGTGGTAAAACAACCCCTGTTGCATTTGAATGGATCTTTGATAGAAGTTCATTTCTTTGAGGTTGGAGAGCTATTTCTTCAATCATTCAGACTCAAAAGTCAAAATGCCTCTGTGAAAAAGTCCTCCGTGAATAACTTGAAAACGGCACACGCCAACCACACAACCATCATGAGTATTTGAAAATGCAAGAAGAGCTATTAACCATTTTCTTAGTATTTTGTTCCATTCGAATGTGATTAAAAGTGAAAGTAATCAGTTGACAGAGTGTGTCCCCCGTGGACTCAGCCTTAACTGTGACTGTATGCCCCGACTACTGGAATGACATGTCCTCGTGTGAGCAAATATTGATCCTGTAGTAAGTGGCAGTTCACTGAGCAGGCCTGGGGGGCAGCTGTAATGGGAGGTCCGGGGGACACATGGGGCGACCCTGCACCTGCCTCCCCCAGCTGCTGTGGAGAGCGAGAAGCACAGAACACACAACACGAAAGACACGCAACACACACACACTCATGTCCACGGTTGGTGCCTTGAGGGCTGTTCATGCTGCTGGCTCGTTATGTTAGAGTCCAATCATTCGTACTGTCACTCTCACACACTGGGACATAAAAGTTGTCCTTCCAGCGTGATCCACTCGTCCCTCTCCGTCCCTCTGGTCCTGTCAGATTTGCCCTCATGTCTTTGTCGTCGGCCATATGGTCTTACCCTCCACACTACACTGTCTAACATTCAATCTACCTCCAGTTTATTAGTCAAGTTGGAGAATTTAAATTTAACACATTCTCTAATCCAAAGATCTCTGAAGTTTTAGCGTAAATGGCAATCAAAGCAGATGGTCGTGTGATGTTTTGATATTGGCCAAAATAAGTTTTCTTCTTTCATGATGAATATAGAGAGGCAATAACAAGAAACTATTTCTGCAAATTATTATTAGTATATTTATATTATTATATATTATATATTATATATTAATTATATTTATATATATATATTTATATTGATTATATATATTTATATAATAATATAGGTTAATATTTCTATATTCTATATATAATATATTTATATATTATATATATTTATATTATATATATTTTTATATATTATATATATATAATTTATATAATATATAATATATAATATATAATATTATAGATATATTTAATTTGCAGGAAATAGTTTCTTGTTATTGCCTTCTTATTCATCATGAATAGATTGTAGGATGTTGTGGCGATTTGGTCTATTTTTGGCCCATTTGGGGTGGCCCTATTGAGCCCTCTGAAAATAAATACACCGCCGCACAATCAGATCTTCTGTTCCTGATGAATTGCGTGCCGTTTGGTTCAGCGCTCGCCCCTCTGTTTGGCACCGGATATTTGGGTGCGTTGACTGCCGTTTTATGATCTCGCGCCGTGCGTGTATGAGGTCAAGGCAGCCCCCCCCCGCGGGGGGGGTCCATCAGGTGTGGTGCCCACGGCTCTCCCCTCCCTCCTCCCCCCCTGTTACCTTTTTATAAAAACTTCATGAGTATTTACCTTCCTGGGGTAATTGTAGAGAAGTGTGTTAATATTCTATAGTTATATATATATCATATTATAATATTATATATATATATATTATATATATAATATATATATATATATATATCCATACGTTTCCTGTAGGCGGCGGCTTATGGATACCGCCTCAGGGAACGGAGCAAACGATCATCAGTCTCAGCGTAGCTTTTTCTTATCCTCTAACTATGGACGATGATAACCACTAATCAAAGCTGTATGTGGATTTTTTTCGTGTGAGTCCTTCTTCTTCTGCTTCTGTGACGGCCAAGGAGCGTGAGAGAGACATCGACTCTCTGATCCAAACAACCAGGATTCTACAGCCATGACATGGGGATGTCTATTCGGGCTCGAGAAATGTAAGCAAGGATGGTGAACTCGGAGAGGCAAGGTAGTCCAACAGAAGGTGATCTCACTCCCAGAGGGAACAATAGCAGAGACGTTGAGGACAGTTTACAGAGGTATCTCGTATACCACAGGCAAATGGCAACACTTTTTCGAACAGGTGGACGAGGAAAGCGGCACTGCCAATTACCTCCAGACGAGTGAAGGCAGGGTCCTAAGAAGCCGGCTCAATGGACAAGAAACAAGGGCCGGGCAATTAACAGCTACGCCCTGCCACGTGGATCAGATACCTGCAGGAATAATCAGTGGACAAGGAAGAGATTCCGACCACGGATGTTAAAACACGAAAGCCTCCTTACATGCATGTGCGGGTTCCATCCCAAATCAGACCCTGAGACTGTACGTAAGCCCGTAAGATGGAGGCCGAGGACTAGGGGAGTGGGAGAGCCCACTGTCCAGGAGATAACATCCAAACTCCATATCTGACATCTTGGAGAAGGCCAAAACGGATGACGTGACTCAGTGAATTGTCTCAGGCAGTGGCGAGGAGATGAGGAGGTGCTGGATGGAGAGCACCATCATGGGAGAAACAAGCCGCCTACACGGCAGTACCAACCGGAGGCATAACAGAAGTGGCTGATTCATGAAGTCATACAAATTGGCTAGAAATGGGCTGGCTACAGGGACAGCACAGGGCATATCATGGACTGCACAGGAACAGGGCACTGAGCACCTGAAGGCGATAGAGGCCCAGATATACCACACCAGACAAAGACCCCAAGGTGTCGGTTGGCAAAGAGGCACCCTGAGACGATCCAACACATAAGCTGCAGGGTGCAAGATGCTGGCAGGGGAAGGCCTACATGGAACGCCAAAACCAAGTGGTGGCATAGTGTACCAGGAAACATCTGTGGAGAGTGGATGGGCTGGATAAAACCCCCAAGGTCTAAGTGGGAAACTCCTCCAAAGGTGGTTGGAAAATGGAGCGTGCGAAGATCCTGTGGGACTTGCAGATACAGATGCCGAATGCCGAATGGTAATGGCAAACCTACCTGACAATCGTGGTGGTAGACAAAAGGGCGAGGGACAGCCGTGGTGAGTGGACGTGGCAATTCCAAGTCGATGGTAACATCCGCGGAAAAAAAAGAACATGGAAAAGCTTGAGAAATACCAACGGTCTCAGAGAGGAGCTGGAGAGGGCGCTGGAGGGTAAAGGTGACAGTAGTGCCCGTGGTGATCGGTGCACTCGGGGCAGTGACCGCCTGAAGCTAGATGAGTGGGTTCCAGCGGATCCCCGGAACAACCTCGGACATCCGCCGGTCCAGAAATGTGCAGGTGCTAGGAACAGCAAAAGATACTGCGCCAGAAACCCTCAAGCTCCCTGGCCTCTGGGTTAGATGGACCCGAAGCTTAGAGAGGGATAACCGCCCGGCGGAGGAGCCAAAGGTGAGTGGACCAATTTATATTGTATTATATTATATCTATTTATTAGGGTTGTCCAAAATAGCGCGTTATTAACGCGTTTAACGCCAAATCAATATGAAACGCGTCATTTTTTTTTATCGACGCGAAATTTAAAAAACACATTTTATTGCAGACCAAACACATAGAAACAAAGAAAAGGGATATAGGTTCAGATACATTGTAGACACAGAGATTACCAAACAATATGTAGTTGGAGATACAGGGGGCCCAAAGATGAAAGAAGAAACCCAGAAGGGGCACATCGGAGGGGAGGGGGGGGGGGGGGGGACATGAAGTGGGAGATGGGGCCCGGCGACCCACTCGCCCGGCCCCCCCCCCCGTTTCCCACATAATAAACACCCCCAACAACCACCACCATCCCCCACACCCACCCCACCCCCCCCCACCACACCACCCCACCATCCCCAATATCCCACCCCAATTAAACCAAATCATTATTACCAGTCCCCCAATAACTAGACATTCCTAAATCATAAGACATAAGATTAGATAAAAATCTCTTCATAACAAGATCAAATCCGATACATACCATTATAATGTACCCCACTACCCCCATCATCTAACACACAAAACACCTAAAAAAAAAAAGAAGGGCCATTTTTACCAATGGCTTGACAGGGCTATACTAGAGCCCATCTTTATAGTGTTTTTGAATTCCGAAGGTGGTATAACCCAGTGAGAAACGGCACATAGAGTATTTACAATGATACAAATTTACAAAATATTTCAGATTGTTTATCTCATTCTAATGGACACCATGATGTATTTCTATACAGTCTATGAGTCTATACCCACACAACACACAACACACCCACACAACACATTGAAGGGGCTGTTTGTTACCATTTATTTATGTTGTCATCCATTTAATGATGTATTTTGCATCAAATGTTTTATGTGATGTAATATAACACTACACCATTGTTTTCAATAAAAAAAAGCAAATTGCACACAGAGCAAATGTGTGAAATAATTTGCGATTAATCGCGAGTTAACTATGAAAATTTCATTGCGATTAATCGCGTTAAATCATTTTCAATCGTTGTGGGACAGTGTGTCGCCTTAAAGCACTAATATATATATTATTATGTAGCCGGGCAAATATCATAGGTACGAACGGCACTGATATGTCCCCGGTTTGGCCAACTAGATAGGGTGCTGTTACAGCCGACGTGTGGTTGGGGAGTGTAAGGTGTTGCAAAGTGAGACGTTACCCCATGGCAACGCCTTGAGAGACGTTGGATGGTGCGCTGGAAAGTTGTCGGCACCAAAAAAACGGTATAAGAGAGATAACAAAAAAGGATTTATGATAAAAATGATCTTTTGTATATCTATGCATATATCTGATGAATTTCTGCTCTATATATCTGTAGATCTGGTGCGTTGTAGAAGGCATACTATTTCGTCAACACTGTCAGACCTGGTGTATAAAGCCGTTGGTCAATCGTTTTGGCGTGAGTTGACAGGATCACTATGGTGTTTACATGTTTAAGGTTTATTTTAAATGGTTATTCATGAAATGTACTCACTATTTGCTTTATTGGCAGTAGGGGCGTGAGGAAATGAAAGACCACGTTATATTTCAGTTGTTCTGGATTTGGTTTGAGCTGTGTTCCTACCAGACGTGAAAGTGAGTGCAGATTGGTTAACTGATATTTCCATTTCCATTCTATATAATGAACATTTTACATGTATTTATTTTGTTTATTATAGTGAGCCTACACCAGTTGTTTTGTAGTCCACTACCTGTTGTCTTGTCTTGTCTTATTTTTGAGAATGAAGTGTTTATTTTAATTTTATGTGGAATTGGAGTAACGGTTGTTAAATAGAAAGGAAAAAGAAAAAGCCAAAAATTACCTGAATTAATGCTGTCTTTCTCTAGAGGCAGTCGGAATTTAAATGAACCACAAAATCTTTGTGAGCTTGTATTGGGTACATTATTTTCCTGCATTCCAAAATAGTACCAACCACTTCATCTGGTGACAAGCATTTCTTGGTGTCAGATAGGTGATTTCCTGGTATTATTGGCTCTTTTAAAGAGATATAATTTATTTATGTTTTGACATTATTACAAGACAAAACAGTAGTGGTTGAAAAGAAGGATATTCACCCTGAGTATACTACTGCAAAGTGATTCACTGCACGCTTCACGGTATGGGACGTGAGGAGCTTACGCCGTATCACACGGGTGTGGATTGGGACCTTAGAAAGAAAGCATAGATGAGTGAGGATGAATGGTATTCGTCTACCGGTGAGAAGAGGAGCAGCCACAGACCTTGAGATGCATGGCCCTTCCGTGGCCCTAGTAATGTCAGAGGTTGATTCGGGCTGAACCTCTTGTAGGAGAGTGGTAACCAATTATTAGAGTTACAAAGAAAGTTTAATGGACAGAGATCAAGTAGACTTTATCTTTTCACATTTAAAAGGTTCTGCATTAGATGAGATTAAGCTTCGTACATATGGACAAAATGTTGAAACCCAAGATTTGTTTTTGTACTTGCGTGAAGCATTTAGAGAGAAGCGTACAACACCACAGTTGTTACATGCATTCTATGCACGCAGACAAGCTGACGGAGAAGATTTGCGGAATTATTCCCATGCCCTCTCTCAATTGTTGAATTCTGCCCTTTTAACCTCTCCTAATGTCGTGCATGACCCACAGCTTGCGATACGTGACCAGATGTTCATTGAAGGGGTTCGTGATTCTTCCCTCCGTCGTGAGCTTCGAAGACTTACCAGAGAGAGACCACAGTCCAGTCTGATCTCTGTCCGTGAAGAAGCCCTTATGTGGAGCCTGGAGGATCACAACAGAGCTTCAAATATAGCAAGAAGCAGACCCCTTGTTGGAGAAACTCTAAATGAATATCCTTTAAATGTTAAGTCTGACCACAAAGTTGAACATGACTTGGCCTCAACACTGCAAGAAGTAGTAAAAATAATAGCCCAGCAAGGTCAGGCTATTGGAGAGCTAACCACTGCGGTACGAGAGCTAAAGACCAATAAAGCAGTTCAGAACATGACCACTAGGCCAAAAGTAACCCCCAAATATACTGATGATGGCCAGCCAATCTGTCTAAGATGTGAGGGAGTTGGACACATGGCTAGGCAGTGTCCGGCTCGCAAAGCTCAAACACACTCAAGCCAAAATGTATCTGCGGTACAGGGAAACCAGATCCCTCGATTGCTATGAGCCAAGCAATGCGAGGAAAGTCAGAGGGCTCCGCAAAAATTTTAACCAAGAAGCGCTTTTTAAGAAATGCTGTGGGAAAGTGCCCCATGGTAAACATTGAGATAGGTGGCGTTCCCCTCCAGTGCGTCATAGATTCAGGAAGCAATGTTAGCACGTTGAGTGAGAACTTTTTCAGGAACCGTCTCGATGGGGAAGATGAAGACATCATCTGTACATCCAAATGGTTGAGAATCACTGCTGCAAACAAATTGCCACTTCCATACCTGGGGTATGTTGAGTTAGATATCCAAGTAATGGGAATAACAATTACTGAATGTGGATTTCTGATCATAAAAGAGGACAAAACAGAAACATCTGAGCCTGATCTATCTCCTCCAGGCATTATTGGAATGAACATAGCAAAACGGTGCAGAGAGTTGATACTAACAGAGTTTGAGACGGTGCTTGGAGGAGAACTGGATTCGGAATGGAGAGAGGCCGTTCACAAAGTACAAGAGGCAGAACTGGTGGAAAAAGCAGCTATGGCTCGGATAACAACAAAAAACAACTGCCATCTGCCTGCACTTTCAGTGTCCACAGTTTATGTAAGAGGCCCGAAGAGAGACTCTGACAACACATCCTCTCTAGTCTTGGAGCCAGGCAATCTTTCCTTACCTGGTGGTGTTATTGTTATGCCCACTGTTGTCTCAGCTAATAGTCCGGTGTTTCCAGTCCAAGTAATCAATTTTCTCACCTGATGATGTGTGGCTCCCAGGAAAATCTAGGCTAGGGTATTTATCGCCATGCAAGTGTATTGAGACAGGTGACCCTTTTGAAGTTCAATTTCAACGTGTATCAGCGTCACATGAGGAAGTAACAGTTAGTAAAATAGGCACAGACAAACCAGACAAAGACATGCAAGACCTATTTGAGCAGTTACATTTAGGTGGTACAAGTGAGCAACAGGCAGAATTGAAGGCACTGTTATTCAAGTATGCAGATGTTTTTGCAATGCAGGATGAAGATTTGGGCTACACAGACAACGTCCAACATGAGATACCTGTATTGGATGAGGTCCCCATTAACCAGCCTTACAGAAGGATCCCACCAAATCAGTATAAAGAGGTGAGAGACCACATCTCAGAACTGCTAAGAAAAGGTGTTATCAAAGAAAGTTCAAGTTCTTATGCGTCCCCAATAGTTTTGGTCCGCAAATCTGATGGTAGTCTAAGACTATGCGTGGACTACAGAAAGCTAAACTTGAAAACCAGACGTGATGCATTTCCATTGCCCCGTATTGATGAAAGTCTGGACGCATTGAGTGGTGCAGAGTTCTTTTCAAGCATTGATCTTGCAAGTGGTTACCACCAAGTTGCAGTCCATGAAAAAGACAGGCACAAAACTGCTTTCACCACTCCATTCGGCTTATATGAATATCTACGTATGCCATTTGGATTATGTAATGCACCTGCAACTTTCCAGCGCTTAATGCAAGGAACAATGAGCGACCTCATCTTCCAGATTGTTATCGTGTACTTGGACGACCTGCTCGTGTTCTCAAAAACTTTTGAAGAACACCTTGAAAGGCTGGAAACTGTTCTCCAGAGACTGAAAAATACAGGTTTAAAAGTGAAAGTTGAAAAGTGCAGATTTCTCCAGTCAAATGTTAAGTTCTTAGGCCATCTGGTTTCAGCTCAGGGTGTAGGTACTGATCCTGAGAAAGTTAGCGTTGTAAAGTCATGGCCCCCTCCTAACTCTGTAAAAGAACTTCGCTCTTTTCTTGGTTTCTGTAGTTATTACAGGCGGTTTATTGAAGGGTTTTCACAAGTAGCAGGACCTCTTCATGATGTTGTTAATAACTGTATTAAGGAGAAGACCCCATTTAAGGCCAAACAGTTATTCCAGACAGCCTGGTCTCCAGCATGTTCAGAGTCATTTCAACTGCTCAAAGACAAGTTAACCTGTGCACCCATCTTAGGTTATGCAGACTTCCAGCTGCCATTCATTCTTGAGACAGATGCAAGTAACCTTGGTTTAGGCGCAGTTCTTTATCAAGTTCAGAATGGAAAGAAAAAAGTCATAGCTTATGCCAGTCGCAGGCTTAGAGGAGCAGAGAAGAATGACAAAAATTATAGTAGCATGAAGTTAGAACTTCTTGCGTTAAAATGGGCGGTAACCGATAAGTTTCGTAGTTATCTCTTGGGTTCAAAGTTCACTGTTTTCACTGACAACAATCCCCTCTGTTATTTGTCCACAGCAAAGTTAGGGGCTATCCAACAAAGGTGGGTGGCACAGTTAGCTGTATTTGATTTTGAGGTCAGGTATCGGCCTGGTCGTTGTAATTCTGCAGCAGATGCCCTTTCTCGACAGCCAGCTGTAGCAGCGTCAGATCCATCCTCAGATGCAGAGTTTGACGGTTGTGAGGCTGTTTGTGACAGCCTGAGGGTAGGCACTGAGTTAGGTTTTGAATTAGCTGCTGCAGGGGTAGACCATTGTAGAGTGAGACAGTTAAGAGCTTTAGACTCAGACAATGACTGTTGTTCAGTCCAAAGTAACACCCCCCACTCTTCCCAGTTACACCAAAACTGAACTCCAAGCATTCCAATTCTCAGACCCAACTCTTAAAGTTTTGAAACAGCTCTTGGCAAAGAAACAAAAACCCTCCTGGCATGAGAGAAGAAGCCTACCAATGCCTGTAAGGTCCCTTCTAAAACAATGGCCCCGGCTCAGAGAAATAGATGGACTCTTATATCGCGAGGTTGAAGATGTAAACCATGGAAAATATAAACAGCTTTTGTTGCCCACCTGTCTCAAGGAAAAAGTTCTCACATCCATACACAATCAAATGGGACATCAAGGAATAGAACGGACAATTGGACTCCTGAGGCAAAGATGCTTTTGGAATGGTATGCATGAGGATGTAGAGAAATGGATTAAAAACTGTCAGAGGTGCATTTTAACAAAGTTGCCACAACCCAAGGTTCATGCTCCACAAACTCCATTCCTTGCTACTCGACCTCTCGAAGTTGTTGCTGTGGATTACACTGTACTAGAACGATCAAGTGATGGATTTGAGAATGTACTTGTACTCACGGATGTATTCACTAAGTTCAGTCAAGCATTCCCTACAAGAAATCAAAAAGCAGACACAACTGCAAAAGTCATACTGAAAGAATGGTTCATGAAATATGGAGTGCCTGAACGCTTACACTCAGACCAAGGCAGACAATTTGAGAGTGCCGTGATTGCTGAATTGTGCAGGTTGTATGGTGTGAAGAAGACACGCACAACACCACAACACCCTCAAGGAAACCCCCAATGTGAAAGGTTCAATAGGACCTTGCATGAACTTTTGAGAACACTTCCCCCTGAAAGAAAACAGCGCTGGCCTGAACATCTAGCTGAACTTGTTTATGCTTACAATGTGACTCCACACTCGTCAACTCGTTACTCTCCCCATTATATGCTGTTTGGAGTTCAACCCCATCTTCCAATTGACGCACTGCTCGGGCAGGAAGAGGAGAAGGAAGAAAGTAAACATACTGACTGGCTCAGAATCCACAAAGAGCGACTTCAGAATGCACATGACCGAGCAAGAGAGTTTGCAAAAAGAAAAGCAGCAGAAAGAATGGCCCGCCAGAATGCAAAAGTTTACTGTCCATCTGTTGAAATTGGGCAATGTGTGTATCTGCGTCATCGTCCAATTGGCAGAAATAAGATTCAGGATGCGTGGTCATCAAAAGTATATAAAGTAATTGATATACAAGGCACGACACACACAGTTGTTCCTGTGAATGGAGGTCCATTAAGGAGAGTGCATAGGTCCAACCTCCGTCTTTGTGTAGGCCCTGTACCACCTCCAAGGCAAGAGACTCGCATACCTCAAGTCTTTCATGAACCCGAAACTGATATAGACTCCGAAACTGAAACCAGTGACATTGACCCTGAATACATGATGGTAGAAAGACTCAATAAGCCAGATACCTGCAGAGACCAAACTGGAAGTGAGCAACTGTTGGAGAGTAACATAAATAACATTCCCAAGGATGTTTTACCTTGCTCCGAGCTGGAGGAACGGCCAGTACCAGCTCCCCGACAGAGGGTAGATCTAGCCCAAAAGATCATGCCTAGGCCTTCTCCACGAAGGAGTACTAGAAAAACAGCTGGACAGAACAGGAATCCATTTAACTTACCTGTGAGTGCTTGTAATAACACAGTGTCTTTCACGCCAGATGTACTGTCTCAGTTGTTAGTTGGTATGGTTCTGTACACCTCAGAAACAAAGGTTGATTGTTAGAAAGTCACCGAGACGTTGACTTCAGGCAGGGGAGAATGTAGCCGGGTCAAATAATAATAGGACGAACGGCAGATACTGTCCCCGGTTTGGCCAGTAGAGGGTGCTGTTACAGCGCGTGTGGTTGGGAGGTGTCAGGTGCTGCACGTGAGACGTTACCCTGGCAACGCCTTGAGAGACGTTGGATGGTGCGCTGGCAAGTTGTGGCACCAAAAACGGTAAATAGAGATAACAAAAAAGGATTTAATGATAAAATTATCTTTTTGTATATCTACTGCATTATATCTGATGATTTCTGCTCTATATATCTGTAGATCTGGTGTTGGTAGAAGGCATACATACGTAACACTGTCAGACCTGCGTGTATAAAGCCGTTGGTCAACGTTTTGGCGTGAGTTGACAGATCACTATGTTAGTTACATGTTTAAGGTTTATTTTAAATGGTTATTCATGAAATGTACTCACTATTTGCTTTATGCAGAGGGGAGAAAGACCACTGTTATATTCTCAGTTGTTCTGGATTTGGTTTGAGCTGTGTTCCTACCAGACTGAAAGTGAGTGCAGATTGTTAACTGAATTTCCATTTCCATTCTATAAATGAACATTTTACATGTATTTATTTTGTTTATTATAGTGAGCCTACACCAGTTGTTTTGTAGTCCACTACTGTTGTCTTGTCTTGTCTTATTTTTGAGAATGAAGTGTTTATTTTAATTTTATGTGAATTGAGTAACGTTGTTAAATAGAAAGAAAAGAAAAAGCCAAAAATACCTGAATTAATGCTGTCTTTCTCTAGAGGCAGTCGGAAATTAAAGAACCACAAAATCTTTGGAGCTTGTCTTGGGTACATTATTTTCCTGATTCAAAATAGTACCAACTCCATTCAGAAAGGCCTTGTTCTGACCAGGACTCCAACCCAAGACCTGCTATCCACTCAGCCACCGTGCCGCCCATTGTTTTAAAAAGTGAATCAGACCAACAAGCGTGAACGTGAATTGAAGTCTATATTAGTATAATGTAAAACTATAGAAGCGAGGCCTTGTTCCCATCACCGCCACTATTAGCTTAAAGTTAACATCTGTCTAACACCTAACAAAACCCCATTGGTTGAATCTTCCATCCTTGAAATAGCCTTTTGCATCTCCATCAGCCGCTGCGTATCCATTCATTTGAACCAAACATCATCAGTTTTAATTGACCCCTCGCTGTCCTGTTCCATTATAATTTGCTGATGCTGCAATCCCGTTCCTGTCCCTAGGTCTGACATTATCACCAACATTCCCGTACCAGCTAATACATAAAATTGCCCGTAAATCTACTCCGGTCTAAACCTCAGGAGCCGTAAAATAAAACTGCTGCTTTATGTACAGCGCTGGAGGTGAGGGGCCCTGGGTGCTCACGGACCCTAAATCAAGCCGTGTGCACAGAGGGACTGAAATGCTTTGGGCATCAATCACTCATGTATGCAAATGTCCGTACGCATACAGAAGACGGCGTGCGTGAGCGTGGCATTGAAGATAATTAAAAATGACAGCTGCCCATTAAGATATTGGTCTAAACTGAGCGCCCGGATAAAAGTAGCACCCTGTCAAGCCCCTCGTCCGCACACAAACACAGAGTGAAAAGTGTGTTGGAGCAGACAGACAGACAGACAGAGAGGCAGACAGACAGGCAGGGAGGCAGGCAGGGGCTCCGGGGCATCTACACGTCTCCCACTGAGAAACTTCCTCCAAGTTATGATAATGGGGCACATATGGGGAGTGAACTCTGGTGTTCTGCGTGTCAGTCCCTCATGTGTCTGGTGTTGATGAAGTTTTCAATCGACGAATTTTGAATGAGATTTAAAAGAAAAGACGATCAAAATGATGCAGATTTCAAACCATCGTAAGTACTTTTTTAATACATGATTCTAAGCCTCTGGTTTTACATTTTAGTAATGAACAACTATTATTTTATGGTTTGCAATAAATGTGTTCTTATCAACATTTGTCAACTGTTTTTGTAATCGAATCAATCAAATCAAATGTATTTATAAAGCACAATTCAAAGTGCAATTAAAAGACAGACTAAATATAAAAAGAATAAAACATAAAAACAAATTTCAGTGTTGCAACACCAGTAAGAGAACAGTAGGAATGAGGAGCACACAGCACAAGATAAATGGAATAATCATCCATTCGTGCTTAGAAATAGGATTTTATGACAGATCAGCAACTCCTGTAACTGTCAGACAATGTCAGTGCACCTGAGTGTAAGCTACACCATCTTATTTTGAAAAGAATATGTATATATTATGTATATATTTATGCTGTACTTGAATATATGCCACAGGTTTTCATGTTGTAAAGTAACATGATGGACAACTAATGGAGAAAATAAAAAAGCAATGAATACCATGATACACTCTCCAGATGAAAAATGCACAAAGGTGATCAAACAGATGTTCATGAATATATGAAATAGTGGCTGTAGATTCAGATTCATTTATTTGCCATTTGCAGTAAAACCACGTTGGAAAAACTGTGCAAGACTACCCTAGTGTGCACCAAATGTGTGTATCAGATGTACATCAAATCCTGTTCCATGTTCTTAACAACAAAATGCTCATTAGCTAAAGCCCTAGTTAGTAATTTTTCACTGAATGAGAAAATGTACCATGCTTGAAATAATACTAATTTCATATAGAGTAGACCAATCTCATTAGGAGAGAAATATGTTCAAATCAATATTTTTTTTTCTCAATTATAGCCAATATGATTTTAAAATTTGAAAAGTAAATGGAGCCCTAACGGAATATTCCTAAATGTAGACTAACAACTTTACATGAGAATATCAACACAACATTACAAAGGATAGTCTCTCCCTTATAATGCATGGAGGAAATGCCTTTAAAACCCTTAAGAAAAAGTTAGCTTGATGTTATAAAACGCACAAAGGCCACTAATAAGACCCGCTCTGTATTTCCCACAACAGAAAAGTTTAAAGCGCAGTAACTGTCACCTCTAAATAATGTTGCTCATAAAGTGCACTATAAAATCAGTCGTACAGCCTTACAGTGCATTTACATGATTTATGCAATATTGCTGTGCTAATGTATGCGGCTGCCCAGTGCTCTATATCCAGCCACGCCTCTGAAGTGCTGTATTGTCACATTCCGTTATTATGTGAAGGAAAGTGCAAACTGCGCACAGCACTTTTTGCGTCGTACTCACATAAAAGTTGCTTGTGCGATACATAATATGTTTGCAATGTGACCTATACATATTAATAATAAACACAGAGATGTCATAAATTATTAATTAAATAACCGGGAATTTTCCTCTACACATTCACATACAACTAGAAATGCTATGCAAGTATTTCTGTAGTTTCTTTTTCTTTCTTTCTCTTGCCCCGGCGTGTCCATATATCTGTGCAGCTGCCAGCTCATTAGGAGAGAGAATAGAAAATGCACAAATAACCAAAGGATTGCAGTGGATTTTGCTAATAGGCGTTCTGTAATAAAAGTAAAACCAGGCATGTTAGTCTGAAATGTATGGGAAAAGTACTTTTTAAAGTCCAAAAGAGAAGTTTCATAAAACACTGTAAACATCAATACATTTAAGGGCAAGGCAAGTTTTTTTGAATAGCACAGTTCATATACAAAGCAACTCTTATAAACAAGATAGAAATATACAAGGAATTCAATATTTTGTAAATGATTTAACAAATAATCCATCAGTTTGACCAGATTTATAATTTTACTTTCTCATGCTAGGGATGTAGCAAAGCAACCATTTAATGTTGTCCAAAACGCCTCCAAAACTAGATAAAAATCTATGTTTGTTTAGTTGAGTAAATGAATAAGATCCTAAAAAGTTAGTTGCACATTGTACAAAACTTCTGAATGAGTTCCGTCTATCCAGGAATATTCTAGAACTCTGATCGAGATTCTATAAATACCAAAATATTGTTAGCACTTTACAAACTGTTGTCAAGGTTGGAAAAAGGTAAATAACCCAAATGTCATATCTGTAAAAATAATGAATTTAATACAATAAAATAGAAATGAAAATCCAGAGTAAACACATAAATTAACCAAAGAGGGACTGAAGACAGGAACTAAAACAGACAAAGAATGACAATGATGGAGCAGTGAGTGAAGGACGTCACAGGGTGTGAATACAAGACTAACGGACACAGGTGAGACACAGGAGGGCGGGGCGGGTCATCAGGAAACAGGAAGTGCAACTAAAGAAGACGCAGGGATTAACTAATTACAAAACAAAACAGGAAATCTAAACCATGACAACGGTGACCTGATTGGTGCCCAACTGTATTTAATATTTTACAGTTGTCTTTAACAGGTGCCATTCCAGCAGAGTAGGTTAGTGAATAAGTTAAAATGATGAAAAGCTTTAAAAGATCAGTATCAAAGTAAATTCTATAGTGTCCTCAGTCCACCTCTGTCCTTGTGAGGTCATCAGGAGCGGGCCTCATTTGCCTCACTGACCTTGTGGAGGAAAGGCCCCGTGCAGGCAGCGTGAGCAGGTGGCGGCCGCGGCACTGACGGCACGGTGCGCTATAAGTTTCTGTCGGTGTCTGGAGACTAGAACTGCACATGTCTGCGGCCGTTTGCTCGACTTGTTTGTGACAAATGTCCAGTGTAGTGTTTATGTGGATGTCTGTGATGCTACCGGTGTGTGCGTGCGGCTCCAATGAAAGGCAGGAGTCCCATCTGCTGTGGTGTAATGACTGTGCTATTTGGAGGCAGGAAAGGTTTGGTGCGGGAGCAGCTGGTACGGCGCCCAGTGACCTTTTAGCATTCCTCCTCTCACCATCTGACAGATGTGTCAACTCGATTATTTCAAAAGGCCCTGAATAAATAAGCGATTGTGAGAGAGCAGAGAGAAGCAGCTAACCAGGAGTCCGCAAAACATCCACACAAACACACACGTGAGAAATAGTCCAATGTTTCCAAGACGGAGGCACATGCTATTGCTCACAGCACAATCAAATTCAAGAAAGTAAATGATGTGAAAGGTCGCCTCGTGTTGGAGCGCGGAAAATCTCCTCCTCTCCCTCGCTACGTCTGCGCTCTTTCTCTTCCTATCATCTGCTAAATAGCTGTTGAGTCTCCAGAATGGGGCTTGGTAAAAGGGGTACAATGGGGTGGAATTGAATGCCATTGTGGTGTGGGTGCCCTTGGAGCGGTGCTATTAGCTGACTGCCGGTAGACGGGGGAGGGCGGGGATGGGGGGGGTCTCAGGTGTTCTGAGCAGCCCGCCGATGGACTCTCATTCCCCAGTCAGTAGCCACAGCTCACCAGGGGAAATAGCAGTGTGTTGTGCATGTGTGAATACGCTGCATTGCTGTGGGTGTGTGCTGCTGGCTGTGTGTTGCGTTGGGAGGAGGCTAATTGACTCACTGAGTGATTGGGGGACTGTGAAGAGGCGACCGCAATCAGACCTGCCCTGATAGAGTTTGATGCCTCCCTAAATAGTTTTCAAATGGAGGAGCAGGTGCTGTTTTTCCCAAGCAATCCCCTCAGCACAGGCGCGCTGTGGAGAGAGCGAGCCGAGAGAACATGCTGGAGCGGGAGCATGAGGCGGTGCCAGGTGACCGAGAGATTTCTGTCATAAGCTCTTTCTATCTCAGTAATAACAGAGAATGTAATCACAAATGCTATACTGTATGTGTCCTTACATTGGGCACACACAACACCCGAGTCCCATTCAAGTCTCAATAATATATAAAATAAAGTATATTCTGTCTCTTCATAGATGTTGTGGAAGAATGAATGATTTCTCTTTCAGTTCATCGCATAAGAATGA